TCTACGTTGTACTTACAGTTTGATGTAATTTTTACTTTTCCTAGAGTTAATAAATAGCTATAAGCTATACGATAATCCCACAACGATTCTAGTTCAAATAACAGTTTATTTTATTGTTAAATTTATATGTAAACTAATTTACTTATACAGATATAAAAAAACGGTCTTCAAAATAGGTATTGTGTGTGACTTAAATTATTCCTATCTAGTTTTATCCATTAAAATAAATTTCTTGATAAATATAATTAAGTATTATACTTGAATAGATACAACTTCCGTATCGGCGTGGTGGGGCGATCTGACGTTCGAGTAAGAGGGAGAACTGCCAGGTTGACTACCTGACCAATAAGAGCAAGGAGATCCTGACGCGGTTTCCATAGCAACAGGCGCTGTTGCCATATCGCACTGCATCTCCACGCCCGCACGCACATGTGCAGTTCCTCCAGTGTTATGACAGTGACTACTTCGAGTACAGTATACTGTCCGCGAGAGTTTAGAAGTCCCCTTAGCTAGAAAAAAATCTTTTTGATGTTGGAATAGTCATCACATGTGTATTTCACAGTATATTTTGGGTTTACAACAGAAATGTCGTTTCCCACTAGAAGTCAGTAAATATATCAAAGAGTGTTCCAAACATAGGGAATCATTTATTTTGGAACAAATGTTTCTGTACTTCTAAGCTGTTCTGTTTACAACACTTCCCTATCAGCAGATGTTCTCTAACTATCAACAGATAACACGAAATTACAGTACAGCACACAGTGTAACGCTGCGTGCGTTGTAAACTGGCGCTGGCGCGCACATTCTGTGTCTGTGAGGATTGAGGAAGTTGCAGTTCCCGCTCACTGCGACTATAAAATTTGTTATCAATTTGTATCAATTTGTTATGTTAGTTTATCCTCAGTAAAATAAAATTGAATGCTCCTACTTGTCATTTACCTAGCGAGTTTAATGTTGTACACTGATTATTCAGGCATAAACAGGATGACCCAATGGTTTTCATCCTGATCTGACCTTAGGGCTCCGCTAGAGACATTAACAATGTTCCTATTACCGACGGTATTAAAATAATAACTAAATAAAGAAGTGAAGAATCGCTTTAGAATTTTGAAACCAGTTCACCACGATATTAACTAATTTAATAATGTAGCCTATAGTTACATTACCAGGACTGAAATTGTATTTAAAACAATCCATCAAAAGCAAAAATTTTAGTCCAGGATTATGTATATTACATTATAACAAAACTTTTAGTGAAATTAAAATTGATACGTAGATTATTTATTGTTAAAATAAATCTTATTGTTTTATTATGTGTGTAGTTCAATCATAATAAACAAATGCTTCCTAAAAACCCTGTCTGCAATATAAAACAGATGATTTTTACGGGGGATTTCAGTGTAGAAAAGGGTAAATGAGTGGGGGATTTACCATGATAGGGAAATCATATGTTGAATTCCAACCGCACAATTATTTTAGACAGACTATAACAACGCGGCAACATCGCAACGACAGTCTCCCCACTGCTCGCTACCCCTCCACACCTCTCCGATACGGAAGTTGTATCTATTCAACTATAGGTGTGTACAACTTAAGTAATCAATAAACACACAGAAAACTGGCATTCCATATCTTGAAAGGTTTTTGTATTTATCATCTATATCTGTTTTGCAATTTACGTGGATCACTGTTTATGATCACGCACATATCCCTTGAGTAATACAAATAATGAAACGTCATAAATTTGAATGAGTCTGTCCCTCATCTCCCCTCACTTTAACAAATTAATGAAGCTTTTAAATCAAATTGAACACGCTCAAAATCAATAACACGAATTCATTTTCATTTTATCTGTTTTTTGTTTGTAATTTTAACCATCGAAACTCTCATGTTTAAGTTTGTAAGATATTAGTAACATAAGTCCTCACCACCAAGACCTTACAAGACAAGGCCCAATGATGGTCCAAGGAACAGTTTCCATTGTTGGAAAAGGTAAAAGTTCTTTAGGATGTTTAGGCGGTTCATCTTTGAAAAGTGTAAAAGTTAGGAATTTTTGGGTATTTGAAGGTATGAGTTGGGAATTCGGGAGGATTAAAACTGTCGTTTAACTGTCGATTTGAAGGTTTATTTTAAAACTAAGCAACCTTATGTATTAAATAACTAGGAGTACGCTCCGAAGTCGCGTATGAGAATGAACGAAGACAATTCTATATAGGCTACCTTAATATATAATCTGTCTTTAGTCTTTGGTGCCCCTTAACCCTGCCTCTGCGGCCCGCCGCAAGTTCGTGCGGCGACAGTTGCAGTGATGACCAGCGTTGCTAACACAACTTGCTCATTTTACCCGCAAAATCCGGTGGTAATCCCTGGAATTAGCCGGAACCAAGTCTTGATTACCCACAAAATCCCCTGAATTCAAATTTTAAAGGTTTCGGCAAACTTTTTGGTAAAAACCTCGTTGTAACCACGTTGCTACGGTGAATTGAGAGAATTATTAATATTTATACTATTCTTTCTTATATTCAGCAAACCGTTCATCATTCATTTCAAGTTTTTTTAAGGCTACCTTTTTTAACTGAAGCCAAATGAAATGTAATGAAATATCTATTTATGTAGGTAACTATTTATGCAAATATTTTTATCTTTCTGAAAGAGAGGTACCGGAACTCCGTTCCACTGCATTCCCCCCAAATCGAGCACTGAATAACAGTAAGACTCTATCCCCTATATCAACCATAAAAGTTAAAAAAAACATAAAATTTACAAGATTTTAAACCTTATGTGATGGCCCCTGGCCCTATCATAAATTGAATTAATAATGTTAATTATAAAAGCTAGAGCAAGTAATGCAAGAGTACCCTAGGTCTATCGCGAATGGCAATTTGAGTACTGTGGTTAATTCAGAATTCTTATGAATAATATCACACAGCCACCTCTAATACATGATGTAGGTGGCTGTGATAATATTCAATAGTTTGATGCCATAAAATGGTGTTAGTAACCCTTATGAGAACAGGGTTAATTTGACTAACACCATTTTATGGCATCAAACTATTGAATATTATCACAGCCGGGAAAGTGGACTGGTCCCAGATCTGGGATGACATATCTGGACATATTCCAGATCTGGCACCCATATATAACCAGGTATGGAATTAGTTCAGATCTGGCATCACAGATCTGATCGTATCTGGCATCCAGATCTGACCAGATATGGAATATGAAATTGGTAAAATTTGTGTTTTAAGAGACAAACTAACATTTTATGTTATCCACACTTTATTCTCATAAAATCGAAGCCTAAAAAAGATAGTAACCATTGACAGAGAAAATGAAAAAAACTTTAACTAAATTAACGCATGAGTAAAAAAATTGTTTTTATTTGTTTAGTTTGTAGAGTGTTGTTTATTGTAGGCCTTTCACAATCAATGTTGTTTTTGTGTCATATGGTTGCCAACCATTTGTTTTAGCATAAGTAAAGGACCATTAAAAAAAAGTAATAAAGTACTTAAGTTAGCCTACGATAACATTGTGTGTAGGCCTAACTTATCTATGGCTTACTTTTTTTATTATTAATTAACTGGTGAACCCCTCTTGACATTTTCTTTAAAATATTCCAATTTTTTACTTCATTGATAGATAGGCCTATGAGATCAATAAATGATTAAATCTGTAGGAACTGTTGTAGTCAGTCGAATTTCGTTTGGTAAAAGTTCTACCGAGCAAGACAATTTTTGGGAAATGTTATCTTACAATTACGAGACCTAGATTCTCGTTTCTCGTATTCGTAATGGCTTTCGTTACCTTACTTGATTAGAAGTGGCCGTGGTGTAGTGGCTAACTGATCGGAGTTCAATGCTAGAGTCCCTAGTTCAAATCCCGGTCGGGCATGTTCAAAACTTTTACTAACAATTTTTTCACTTTTTAATTTTTATTGAATTTTTAATGCATAGTTCATTAGGTTTTAATGTTAAAACATCTTATATACTTTTTTATTTTATTAAAATCATTTTCTTTATAAGTAATCTGGAACTCCTTCTTAAGGGAAGATGCAAAACAATGTTACTATTTAAAATGCATAACAACCCACATAGCACAGAATATTTATTTGATATCAAATAAACGTTCAATATATCAAACTATGTCAAATCAAAAATTTGATATTTATTTGATATTCATTTAATGTTCAAAATGTCAAAGTCAAACAATGTCAAACTTTGAATATTTATTGTATCTTCAAAATATCAAAGTCAAATAACATCAAATTTAGAATATTATCTAAATATTCTTAATGTTAAAAATTTGATTTTCTCTTTGAAAATTTCCAAATATACTAGTTTTAAAAATTTTTAGATTTAACTTTTTAAATTTTTTAGAGTAAAGAATTAGTCCCCAGCCTACAGGGGCCCATTTCATAATAAACTACAAGTTACAAGTTACAACTTGTAACTTGTTATTTCCATTAGATTTGCATTGGGCAATCAGCTGATTTACTAATAATATTAGTTTGTACTTTATTATGAAATGGGCCCCAGTTTGTAACATGGAGGTCGGAGGTCAATTATCTCAAAATAATTAATAATAGGAAGGAACACTGAACACTGTAATTTTTAATTAATTGATGATGGATTTTGACTTTTCGGGGGCGGGGGGGAGTTGTTGGAACATCTGATATTTTTCTGAATCTAGGCTTACTACACATTTCAAGAAGAGTGAATAGGAAACACAGCTTTTTTAAAAGTTTTGTTTATTAATAAAAAAGTCAAACTCTTAACGATTGGCCTTATCATTTTATTTTTACTAGTAAATTAAACCAAACGTAAATTTAAATTTTTTTAAGTGTAATATAACTCTAAAAATATGTTAAGTATCTAGTTTGAGCTTGACTTGGCCCATTCGTATGAAAGGAAGAGAGGAAGACTGAAGACAAAACACCAACTTAATTCTAACCTAACTCAGCAAACAAAACAAAACAAAACAAATTACAAAATCCGCGCGACCAGTGGTGGCCAGTTTACTCACGGTGTGGATTTATTTATTTATTAACCAACAAATTGCCCATTTTGAGGGAAAGTACACGATTTATGTAAAATGTACCTATGACAACTAACTTGTTGAGTAGGCTACACAAGTAGTGAAAATACTATGGAAGCAACAAGAGTATCAAGATTCAAGAACAAGACATAACCTCAAATCAGTTAACTTAAGTGTGCTGATATTTTGTTTAGTGTGTGTCACTGTTAGTTTAGAGTTGTTATTTTTGTGACTGGGTATTGGCATAACCTACACCGAACATCTTTTCACGTTTTGATCCTTGGAGTATGTAAGTATAAGTCACTATACCTAGTAAAATAGACGTATTTTAGGCCTTGGCCTTACCTAGACCTAAGTTAAGCTACTGTAGAAATTAAATTGGCCAACTTATCATTCCTAATGCCTTAACTTAAGTATAAATAGATAAATCTGAAACCTCAAAATAGGCAATCTGTTTTAGAGGAAGTATTTTTCTGCATACTAATTAGGCCTAGGCGTAAGCTACTAAGTTAGGCGGCTTGCTTAGTTCTTACTGAACCAGTAGTTTATTTAGCTTCAAAGGGCAACTTCCGGATGAAAATAGTGTTCAATATATAGGCTAGTAAGTAGGACTAACTTACTGGTTTACAAGGCAAATGGAATACCATACTGTGTTGTAATACCTTGTTAGGCTAATTTTGAAATATTACTAAGTTATGTGGGTCATATTTTACGTCAGTCACTAACTTAAGTTTATGTAAATTCACCATCAAGAATAAGTTAACTTAATTTAGGCTAGCCTAGGCCTAACATATTCTACCTCAACCAGGTTACAATTTACCGGTATTATAAAAGAAATAGCCTAGCCTATTTGAAATCCATTTTCCTTTTAAACTGAATTGGGGTACACTTCCGTATCTGTTGTCAAAAACAACTGAATGAACATAGGCTATAACGATCGATATTTTCATTCGGTTGTTTTTGACAACAGATACGAAAGTCTACCCCTGTATTGTCTCTTAGTCTTTTGTATTTTAGTTGTTGTCTGCTTCCTTTACCAACCAATGATTAGGCCTAACTAATCTTGATACATATTTAGGCCAGAGAAAGGTATGCATGAATTTAACTAAAAGTAGTTTTCTCTCCATTGTTTCAGTTGATAACTCTGCAGCTTTGGTGGAAGTTATTATTTGGTAGCAGTGAATAATTTGCCTACGGTACCAATTCTCCCGAGTGACAAAGTGGCTGTTTAGCAGCCTGTAGGCTGGGAAGGAGGAATAAATTTTTTCTTTTGCAATCTGCATCTGAAGCCAGCTATCTTGCGTAAGTTTTTTTTTTATTTACAATCAGACATTAATAATAGGTAGACATACATATATTTCAATTAGGTTTTCTCAAAGTTAAAATAAAGTTTCAAACTTAGGTGTTTTTATTTCAATTTTTCTGTTTGATACGCCATGACTGTGTATGTCTTTTTTGCCATAACGGGTACAGTTCCGCAGAGAACCTGCAATATATTATCGGATGAATAACATTATATATCAATAATTATCCGATTCAATACATCGTTCCCTATGTTTTTTCACTATGTAAACATCAAATTGAGTTATGATTTGCAGATTTGGTGAATTGGTTTTGCAATATTAATATCAAATCAGATATATATACTGTCCGATAATATATCGCAGGTTCTCTTAGTAACTGTAGATAAGTTAGGCTCTACCACCAAAACACAACCTAATTCATGATAGGTACCTATTGGGTAATAACGTAGCCTAAGGTTCATCACACAGTTAAGAGAGTTTCTCTTTTTTGTGACCCACTTATACAGGAAGTCTTTGATTTACACTATATAAATATTCCGGCAGTGCTAACTTGTGCAAAAGAAAACTGTATTAGTTGAATTTTTTTAAACGCACACATAGGCCTATACACACACCAAACTACATCCGACCGTTGCACTCATTTCAGTCAGTGCTCACCCCAATATTTGTCCGTTCAAGTGACTGAGGATTACTTTTGCCACTACCTAGGTCAAAATTTTCAATTTTCAAATTTAGATTTAGCTTTAACAAGGCTACTCAAAAGAAGCAAATGCCATCAAAATATAAAATAGATTTCACTAACAATTTAATATGTGTACCTAGTTGTAGGCTATCCTGGGTGTTGATCAGGAAAATTAAAATATATACAAATTCTAGTGCTAATACTAATCTCTTTTATACAGAGGCAGAACCGGTACGCAAGAACACTAGGATCGTGGTGTAATGGAAATATATGTTGTTGCTACTATAATCAAGAATTGGCTTCGCCCAGCAAAGTTTAGTATTGATGCAAGGTAAATTTATTGTGTTATTTATAATTTAGGTTAAAGAAAAGATTGCTTATCTAATTACCTAATATAGAACTTATCTAACTACTGTGATGTTTTCTTTTCAAATTGTGAATTTTCAGTGACAGGCTATGCAAATGAGCAAAACTTAATCTGCGGTTTTATCCATCTCTTTTTTCTTTATTGTCAAGAACTCAATGCCTTATCGACAAATTTAATTATAAAGTACAGGTATAGTAAAAAAATAGGTCTTAAAAATGCCTAACGAAGGGGTCCCCAACCTACAGCCTGTGGGCTACATCCGGCCCTCGTGCAGTTTTATTCCAGCCAGCAGAAAGCCAGCATACGTTTTTGATAATTATTGTTTTTTATAGCAAACACCAATTATATTCTCCCACGATTGCGTAAACACGTGTGGTCAGGTGGTCTCAGCTATATCGTGATCATCTCCCGTGATCTCGCCAAGACTCACGAGCATATTATACTGCAGTCTCAACGGTGCCGTGATTGTCTTTTGCAATCCCAGCAACACCCTTCATTGTTGACCGTGATTTCCTTGAGGTGTAAAAAGAGAACTTTGTCAATGAATGCAGGCTCAGCCATGGGATATTTATTTACCTCGAGGCTCATACCATAATTAAGAGCAATTAACTGTCTCTTCCCCATTCAACAAAATTTGTGTACAATACCCTGTCTCCAAGTTGGCAGGTTAACGTATTTAAATAGGAACATAGTAAATGTCTCTCACTTGCTAATTTTTTCTCAATAGGCCTAGGGGAATATTAGTAGTAGTCAAGTAGCGGCAGATTAATTTAAATATATATATTTTTAATTGATCCTAATTGGCAGAACTACAAACTGAAATCTTAAACTAGCTGACATTTTAAGTGTCAAATTTTATAGCCTATTCTCACTAAAAAAATCATTGAACTTTTTGTCAAAGATTTAGCTTAGAATGTGATTACTTCTTAATTGCACATCTTTCGTTAGAATTAGAGGCATTTATAATTTTATTTTATGAACAGAACTATATTTTAGATTATTAAAAAAGGAAACTATGTAGTTTATTTGTTTATGGATAGATTTTGATAAAATTTGGCAAACTTATTTTCTTTATCCTATACTATTGACGTATGCTCAAAAAAACTTTTTACCTTCTCCATGGCTGCAAACCTAACCTTGTTAAATCTAATCTTCATTCAATTTTTATCTTGTATATTTTTTTATATTATCAGCAAGTTAGGTTAGCTTATGACAGTTTAATTTTATAATAGAATGCTCTCATTTTGTCCGTAGTAAACCTTAATTCAATTTTTTCACAATCAGCAAGTTTGGTTAATTTGGTTAGGTTACGACATTTTAATTTTATAATAGAATGCTCTCATTTTGTCCGTATCACAAAAAGCCTTTACCTTGTGACAAATGACAACTACAATCGCATCGATAGTAGATGATGTTGTGATTCGATAGAGTAGCGAACAATTAACGTTAGTCGCTAAATCAGTGGCGTTTTTAGACAAAAAAAGTGCTCACCGAGGAAAAAGGGTTGGAGACCCCTTGTCTAACATATTATATTTTATCTATAGCTGTCTTAGAAAATAACTCTGTTGAACCTCTTTTACAGGAACAATAGAAAACTCAAGAAGGCCATTTGGGAGATGAAGAAGACCAGAATTATTTTTTTTGTAAATTGTACATATCTTTTTTATATTTGTGTTTAAATAATTTTTAATTAAACTTATTTTATCATACAAACAAACTTTTTTCTTTAAAATGTTTTCCTTGAATGCAATTTTGTTTTAAACAAATATGTTTTGTGATACTTTTGTTAATGTTTTGTCAAATAAGAAATATATATATATATTTACATTTTTGGGTCACCCAAGAACTTTAACAAACTACCTATAACTTCAGAATAATAAGTCAAATCAAGGTAAGAACAGTAAAGAAGTCTGAACTGATATTATTTTAATCGCCATGAAATTTGAAATGTGAAAAAATGCAACCTAATTCTTCTAAACATATTTTACCAATAAATGTATGAGACATTTATTTGATATTCAATTTAATATTTATTTAATGTCAAATTAAGTGAGGTTGAACCTAAATTGACCATTTATTTGATATCAAATGAATGTTCGCGAATATTAATTTAATATTCGAATGTCAAAAATGTTATTTCAATATTTATCACCATGATATTTAAAATGTGAATGTAAATTCAATCATATTCTCTTTATTATATTTTACCAATAAATTTATGAATGTCAAATTTGATATTTATTTTATATTCAATTTGAATATTTATTTGATGTAAAATTGAGTGACGTTTGAACCTAAATTGAACGTTTATTTGATATCAAACGAATGTTCGTGAATATCAATTTGATATTCAAATGTCAAAAATTTGATAGCTATTTGATATCAAATAAATATTCGGTGCTATGTGGGAATGTTATTATTTAAGTATTTTAACCTGTAGGACCATGTTACCAGAAGAATAGAAGCCTGTATATAGAAACAAATAAAGTACTGTAGGCCTACCTATGGAAATTGAATTTAAGGTAAAAATAACAAGATAAATATTTCAATTTGTTTTGTTTGCAAGCATTTTTTATATTGTTATTTCATTGTGTTTCAACCACTATTTCAATTGTGCAAAGACAGTCTGGAGGTAGCATAAATTAATGAGCCGGTTCGTTATAACCTAAACGTTACCTTCCTAATCGAACCTAACTTCAAAACACTTAATACAGTCACAAATTCACATAAAACCCATCCTACCTTCCCCACATGCCTACTTAACTAAGAGCTGATTATTTAGTTTCAAAACAAATTGATTTAATTCCGCATTGAGTCAAGTATAAACAGCTGTTTGCTTTGCTCACACAGTCCTCAGCCCACATTCGAACCCGTCCAGACCACGCCATATTACCATCCGAACCGCGAAATGAACCTTAGATTCGTAATTTTAGCCTTCGTTTTACATCCACTTAGGAATCTTTCCGACAAAAACGGATTGCATTTTTGGAATCAGCGTGAAAAATACTGTAAGGAAACATCTAAAAATTGCATCATTTCTTAATGTAGACATACTATATAATTGCCAAATATTTTATCGGATGAGTAAGTTAAATACATTTCATCTTAACAATGCATATCAATATTTATCCGATTCAATTTTTCAATTTAAAAAAATTCTTTTTTTCCAATGTATGTCGCTAAACATAAAATTGATTTATGGTTGGTACGGTTTTTGTTCATACCTATTTAAGAAATTAGGCTAAACTACTGTCTAGGACTAATTTACAATTGACCAAAAATAAATAATAAGTTAGGCCTATTAAAAAGAAAGGGTACAGTTTCATATCTTTGGCTCAAACAACCGAATGAGTAATATTAATTATTCGATTGTTTAATTCGATATATCGGTTGATATTACTCATTCGGTTGTTTGTGCCAACAGATATGGAAGTGTACCCAAAAGAAACAAAACAAATAGGCCTAGGCCTACCTAATAGCAAAACAACCAAGGATAAAACAATAAAATGCTTCTTTAATGTTTGGTTACCTCGGTAGGTGTACCTATGGCTCTGGGAAGTGGGATTTTTTAAACGTTATTTTTTTTATATCATATGGTAAATGTATGATGAACTTAAATTCAATAGGCCTAGGCCTACGATATTAAGTTAAGTTAAAATCAAACCGATAAGTTTCATCTGATAAAATAATTAAGTTATTGTTGGTTCTCTGCGGAACTGTAACTTACCCAGTAGGTAACATAGGTAAGAAAAATAGCCTAAATTTTTATAAACTCATGAAAAAGATCAAAGTTAACTTACCGTAGCCTAACTTATGTAGGCTATTTAAAAATTTATCTCTTTAACAAATCATACACAAAAGATTCATGTTGATTTTTAGAAATGTTACCTTTGTTATTAGGCCTATTATAAACTAAAAAGTAGGCTACACAGTGTAAAGAGTCTCCTTAAAAAAAGATCTTAGGCATAAATTGTTCAATATTGAAATAGGCCTTGGCCTACATGATAAATATGTACGGTAAGTTGTATCGCCTAAAAGTGAACCGATTACGATAGGTAAGTTATCGCATAGGGTATATTAAGTTAAACAAAAATATTTCATCTGATAAATTATCGTAGGCTAGGTTCTCTGCGAAACTGTTCCCCTGAATATGGGTAACTTAATCTAAGTAGGCCTACTATAAGGACACAGATATAGTAGCTAAAAGAAAGTTATAGGATACATTACTTTTTTAGGTCTATTTAGGTAAGTTAGGGTTATATTAAGGCCTACCTTTCTTAGTTTAAACTTTCTACCGTAGGCCTACATTCTTTGACGGTGAAAAACACATTAAACACAGATTGTTGTATGAACAAATAAACATAGTACTGTGACATCATTAGACACAGATTTTTAACAAAACACTTGACAGGCCATACCTAGGCTAGGCAACACGGCCGTCTAGGCAATTAATGTAACAGACACACTTTAAACACAAAACAACTTTACATGACACAGCACTTCCTCGCTTCACCGCCTTCCTTCAAAAGTTTATACTGTTTAGGCTATATTTTGAAGTTAAGATTATCTACCTCAGCATTCTGATTGTCTGTCTCACCATTCTTCCACTGCCTTGGTACAATCGATGAAGACCTGTGAGCCCAATTTTATGTCTGCTCGTACCGTACGTCTTGATCTTCACTTCTTGGTTATCTGCATAGTCCTTTTGTTATGGGCCCTTAGCAGCATTATTATAAGTGGGCTAAGTTAGCTATTTGAAGCAGTAGGTCCCCTCTTATTGACCTACAGTATTTAGTGTTCAATACTTGATGAAGGGTCCATAAGCTCAGTTGACACAATATAGTCGACTGAGAGTTCAATATTAAACTCACTTACCTTTGTGGTAATTATATCGACCTCCGGACCTCACGCGAAATTAAAAATTTCTTTTTTCAAAATAGCCGAAATTTCACGCTGATTTCAAAAATGATTGTCGTTTTTTTCGGAAACGTCCCGTTTTCCCGGAAAATGGGAAAAACGGGAAAAATATTTTTTTTCTCAAAACCCATGGTGTGGGTACTCAAATTATGCGAAATTTCCTCCTGAACAAGAATATTTAAATTTTATTACGATCGGACCACTATTAAGTAAAATATCACCAAAAAACGGGAAAACGGGGAATTTTTTTTTTGCTCAAAACCCATGTTGTGGGTACTCAAATTGTGCGGAATTTCATCCTGAACAAGAATATGTAGTTTTTATTACGATCGCTTTTAAGTAAAACATCACCGGATAGGTTAACTAACCTAACATAACCTAACTTAGGTTTAAATTAGGTTAGGTTAGGTTAGGATAGGTTAGTTTAGGTTAGGTTAGGTTAAGTTAGGTTAGGTTAGGTTAGGTTGAGTTTTGTTAGGTTAGGTTAAGTTAGGTTAGTTTAGGTTAGGCTTAGTTGGGTTAGGTTAGTTTACTAGGATAGGTAAGTTTAGGTTAGGTTAGGTTAAGTTAGGTTAAGTTAGGTTGGTTTAGGTTAGGTTAAGTTAGGTTAAGTTAGGTTGGTTTAGGTTAGGTTGAGTTTTGTTAGGTTAGGTTGAGTTTGGTTAGGTTAGGTTTGGTTGGGTTAGGTTAGTTTACTTACAATACTCATGTTATTGATAAACTAACCCCACCTAACCTAACTTACGAACTTAGGTTAGGTTAGGATAGGTTAGGTTAGCTTAGGTTAAGTTTGGTTAGGGTAGTTTACTTACAATACTAATGGTCTCTTAACCTAAGTTCGTAAGTTAGGTTAGGTTGGGTTAGTTTATCAAATAACATGAGTATTGTAAGTAAACTAACCTACCCAACTAAACCTAACCTAACCTAACCAAACTTAACCTAACCTAACCTAACAAAACTCAACCTAACCTAAACTAACCTAACCTAACCTAACCTAACCTAAGCTAACCTATCCTAGTAAACTAACCTAACCCAACCAAACCTAACCTAACCAAACTTAACCTAACCTAACAAAACTCAACCTAACCTAAACCAACCTAACCTAACCTAACTTAGCCTAACCTAACTTAACCTAACCTAACCTAAATTAACCTATCCTAACCTAACCTAACCTAATCTAAACCTAAGTTAGGTTAACTTATGTTAGGTTAATTAACCTGTCCGGTGATGTTTTACTTAAGGGCGATCGTAATAAAAACTACATATTCTTGTTCAGGATTAAATTCCGCACAATTTGAGTACCCACAATATGGGTTTTGAGCAAAAAAAAATTCCCCGTTTTCCCGTTTTTCGGTGATATTTTACTTAATAGTGGTCCGATCGTAATAAAATTTACATATTCTTGTTCAGGAGGAAATTCCGCATAATTTGAGTACCCACACCATAGGTTTTGAGCAAAAAAAATATTTTTCCCGTTTTTCCCATTTCCGGGAAAACGGGACGTTTCCGAAAAAAACGACAATCATTTTTGAAATCAGCGTGAAATTTCGACCATTTTGAAAAAAGAAATTTTTAATTTCGCGTGAGGTCCGGAGGTCGATATAATTACCAAATTGGTCACTTATTCAGACCAAAGTCGGGAAAGCTCCTTCCTATTGCCTATTCTTGTGTCCATTGGCGGAGTTTCATCCGCTCTTCATCAGAACTGAGTCTACTTGTTCTAGGTTAACCTTAACTTAATGAATGAGGTTTGAGTTGAATCTAAAATGCAGTTTGATTGCATTACTTACCTACGTAATTTAAATGGATACGATTTTATTCACAAACTGTTAAAACCTACTTAGGTTGCCGTCTTATTATCAATAGCAGAATGCACTAAACCTTGAGGAGTATGTTCTAAGACTAAACTTAGTAAACTTAACGTAAGGCAGCATTACTGATTCTGTCTTAGTTAGCGAGTGAACTGCAGACGACCGATGAAAAAAAGATATATTAAATGAAAAAAAACCTTATTTGATAAAAAAAGTCTTAGTACTTATGTTATATCATTATACAGTAATATGAAAGTACAGTAACTTATCTAAATATTTTGGGGCAACATTTGAATGACTGACTGAATAGATAAAGCCACCGACGCGAGGCCTTACGGAAATTTAATTTAGAACAACCAGAACGAAAATAACTAAAACCATTGATTATTAGATAGTGAAATCTTATCTAATATTAATTAGTCAAAGATAACACTTAACTTTTAGCAAGTTAGGAAACAATAAGTTAGTAGACTTTCACCCACGGCATCGTTTACCGTCGCGTCGTACTTATTATATAGCATTGCCTACTGAAGAAACGTAGCTTGTAGAATAAACATGTAAATATTTATTTTTCAATCAATTGCGATACATTTTAGTAGATAATTTGTTAACTCCTGCCAGTATTTTCGTAAATACATTATTATCCTAGAAATTGTAGAGTTATAATGTGAATACGGTTTGACTGTTACTCTATGGATGAAAGAGTAGTCGTTCTCTTTGTCTCGAGTAAACGACAAAATTGTAGGTCGTAAAATGTAAACAAATAAAAAGAAGAAGAAGGTAGCTCATAATGTTAATCTTATGGGACAAAATTAAAAATGTTTTTTTAAGATTTTATAATAATTACGGAACAAATATTTTTCAACAACTAATGGTCGCAAGATAAAGTGGTATAGAATCTTTGTGCAACACATCAAGTTGATAACTTTAGGCATTCTCGAGATTTCGATCAACATAAAGATGCATTTCACACCAGTATGAGAATTCACTTCGTTCATTCAATTAATTATTTAAGTAAAAAGTGTTAGAAATTTCATTTGTTGAGTAACTATAGTACGTTACGTAACATATATATAGTAGGAATACACAGAAAGTATTCAATGCTTTTTAGAGGAATTTCTTTCTGAGCAGCGCGTGGATAGCTGATAGCCCCACTGAGTGTTTTTGAAAAATTGATTTTAAGGGGCTGTAAATTTATTGATAAGTAGACCTACAGTGTAAACATTTCTGGAGACACTTCAGACACAATCAAAAATGAAGATTGGCAGTCAAATCAATATAATGTAAAGGGAGCCTTCATTTCTTGTTATACAGCATATTTATGTCAGCTAGAGATATTAAAGAACTCATTACTGTATCTAGTTGGGAAATCTGAGTAATATAGTTGGGAAATTCGAATAATATAATTAGGAAATCCGTGTAAAATAGTTGGGAAATTCAAGTATCTCCCCCCCCCCTCAAATATGTTTTTCATGACACGCCCCTGTTCGAGAGTTTGCTATATTAGGCTATTAAGTGTCAAACTAATTTGAGAAAATAAAAAGCTATATTGATTTAATTATCAACATTATGTGGTAGGTACACCCGATCAGTCACGACCAGTTTTAAAGTCTTGACATTTTTGCCCGGTAACTTATTTTTGGAATCTACTAAATATGTTATTTACTATTTTGAGAAAACAAAAATAGTTACGTCACGTATCGGTTCCTAATGCTATTACATTTTCCTTACATCTGTTATTTGAGCTCATCGCCCTCGGCTGTCGTTCCTCGTTACTTAAAGGCAATCAAGATAATTTGTAGTAAACACGAATTACAAGAAAGATAAGTGTGAGTAGTACAACGTGTGTAGTGAGTAGGTGCTAGAGGCTATATGTGATCCGTTTATTTCTTGGCATTAAAAATAAAAGGGAGAGTAGTCCATGGGAAATGGCCCATAGCTAGGGATGAGGCACGACGTTGCGACGGTGGCGCGCGGTGCGGCGAGTGTGCGCGGCGCGGCGATCAGAGCGCGCTCCTCGCCGCTTCGTCAGTTTTGCTGCGATAGTCGAGCCGCGCTGTTGTGTGTCTGCTAGTCTTGGACAGTCGCGAGTTTGTTTGTCCGTTGCTTAGCGACAAGTATGTGCGGTTCGATATAGACCAGTACGAGTAGTGGTGTTGTTGTGACCATGGCTTTATCTGTGTTTTGTGTGTTTCTCGTGCTTATGTACAGTGTCTCCGCCAGTCCTATATCCATGGTAGGCACCGGCTATGAAGGGATCACTGTCACCATAGACCCCACGGTACCGGCGGTCAACTGCGGGATAATATTGGCTAACTTTGAGGTATGTCATACAACTATCCGTCACATAACATTTTTTTATATTTTTATTGTATACAGGCTAGTGATCATTTCAATTTAAAAATATCTTAATTTTTTTTAAATATATTTTTCGAAAACAATTTTATGCAGTTTTTTTGTTAAAACGTTTATTTTTATCAAATTCAAACACACAAAAATAAGTTTTAAAATCAACCCAAAGCCAATACATTTTTCTTATAACGTTTGTCTCTAAGCCTCGGATCAATTGTAGATCTCCAACACATATCGGTCGTTGGTTGGTCCGCACTTCGCAGGCAGATTACAGTTCGATCTGCGATCAGGTATTTATTTCCCTCGGCGAGATCGCACGTTTTCTCTTCTCGGGGCGAAAGGTCTTGACTTCGTCAAAATTACAGACCGATGATTACCTTCACCTTCGCTCGACGATCTTTACTTTCTTGTGAGATGCCAATAGCTAAATAATTTCTCTGATTCCTTAGTTATTGTAAAATTATCGTTCCATGCATAATGTATAAATCATGTATTCAGCGGAAGCTTGTTCATGTTTCACTACATTGATAACGTATCGCGTTTGCTTACATGGAGATGTTAAGTTCCAGGACAAGTGCTCAAATGTTACATAATATTTACTTAATATTGCTGCGATTTATTTTAATTATTGCCAGGAACATGATTTAAAAATATTGATAAATTGTTTGAAACCATATATAACATTGAAAAAATACTTGGGACAATAATCGTCGTATGTATAGTATCGTATAAATAAAAAATATGAATGTCAAATGACAGAATATACACGTCGAACGAAATTTTCTCATCGTATACACGAGGTCCTTTTCTAGCGATGTATTTTCTCAGGTTATAGGATTTCATTCGCCTGTTATGATATTGTAGCTGTTTTTCAATTTCCCCAAACTCTTCACTAATATTTATTTTACAAATTGTGACTACATTTTTAAATGCCGTATTAAAATTATTTTAGTTTTTGCAACAAATTATATTATTATTCAATTATAACACTGCATTCAATATAACAATTTCATTAAATCAATGTTGCGTTTTATACCTTTTTGTCTATTTATTTTATCGTATTTCTTTGCTACACATATATAATCGATTGTGTTAAAAATACAGTGATGATTAAAAATAATATGCGTGCACATTCTATTAATAACATGGTTTTGTTTTTAATCCAAGCCTAATAACTCAATATACGCCTAATAGATAGAATATTGCCGGCGTAATTTTCTTAAACAAATATTTTGCTCATGTCATTTGCTGCATGCAAGGAAATTGGCATATCTATGGTGATATGATATCTAGGAGAGACTGTTTTTATGTTTTTTTAAGTTTGATAGCACTATATCTTGCTTCCGAAGTAGGCATATTTTGCAAAAAAAGTTTTTTATACTTATGTGTTAGAATATACAGTACGTATATTAAAAAAATTAATCCCACAGGTAAATTTTTCAATATCAAATTTATAATATTTATTGTATTATTTAGTCACTCTTAATTTTAATTTAGTTCACCCCAAAATACTAACTTGTTCTGTTCTGTAGACCGTAGGTGTAAATGTAAATAATTTCCGTTAGGCTGGAGAACATTAAACTCATTTTCATTCAGCTAAATCCATCACAAATATAATTACTTCCCAGCAAAAATGGAAATGCATTTGGAGCCATTGATTATCTCTTCATTATTTTCAATCAAATAATGAATTGCAGGAAACTCGTTATTTTGTTCAATAAATCATAACCAAGCATTACATTTTTAATAAGTCTATGATCGTGCTAAAGCATTATCAGACTCATATTTTTATCTAGCTGTACTATATTACAAAATTATATGTTTTGCAGTTTAGCCTCATCTGAGTTCTGAGTTAATCGAATCAAGTATCAATATGTATTGATCGTTAAAAAAATACAATAATAGCTTAAACGCCCATATTTCAATGTTGTACATTTTGTATCAAATAGATAGATAATTATGCGTGTACCGTGATTATAGTAACTGTTGTATTAAAAATAGGACCGAGTAGACCTATTTGCCTAGGAAGAGAAACAAGAGGCACATTGAGACAGACTAGGCATTCATTTGTCAATTAGCAAGTTAGCAGGTACCCGTGGGTGTGGGAACGTCGCTCTGGGTACGTGATAACTGCTATACACACTATACTGCTACGCGATAACATTCAGGTACACTATACACTATACACTGCTGCTACACCGTCAACGTCAATAACAACAATAGGTATATAGGCTGAGTCATTTACAAATAAAACCATGCACAAAAAACATGAAACAAAGCTTATCCATGCGTAAATAATCATACTTCTCGTATTGTACATATGTATATCACTGTAAGTGCATTTACATTGTCTATTGTAGTTAAGTGATAACTACTAGATACATGACTATACTCTTGTACACTGCTATGCAATAAAGTTCAGGTACATTATCGTTGGTATAGTGAATGTAAGCCTTTTCAAATCCAAGTAAAACCAACATTAGATACCAGAATAACAACAACTTACTGTAAGACAGTTAAAATAAATTGAAACCAGGAAAGCTGGAGAATATAAAATTAATAACAGTAGGAGTCATCACAACCATTATAACAGCCTACATTATACTGATACTGCTTGACAACACATTTTAGACACCGTCACAATACTTTTTCTGTCAAAATATTCCAAAAGTCGTATTCGCAATTTTCGTAAATATTTACTTCAGTCTTGTTTCAAGGGTGTATATTTGGATCAGACAAACACAAAACTACTTGGCCCCCCTCCACTAAGGAACTCGTTAAATGTACACATATTTTGAGATTGTCAAAACCTTGTAGAGTTGTTGATGGATATACTGTATTCTCAACGATGTCAATGCGAGCTGATTGTGACTTGTGGGTGTTGTATGTAGGCCGGTGTAGTGGCACACCTGAACTGCTGTACTGTGTTTGTGTTTACACAACTGTATAATCTGTCTGTGTTGTACTAGACACTCCAGACTAGGGCATAGCGACTGACGAAAACAAAGCTACCTACTTGTATTTTGAAATTTGTATTAAAATCAGGCAAATGAAGCATATCGAGAAATAAACGTGTGGATGATGATAATTTATTAAAATAAAATAGGAGAATGAATGCTTAAAGACTTACATTAAACGAATGTGTCTGGTAGAGTAGCCCATCGTCGAATGTCTGAAACCTTGGCGTATATATCAGACTTAATTAGATTGTATGAATGTATGTATACCTTATGCATACTAATCAAGCAGTATTTCATGCCATGAGCATTACTGGAGTTAATCGATGGCTGTAGATGCTAAATTAATTTGACAGTTCTATAAACTTATTGTAGGCAAATAAATTAATGTTAAATGCTTAATTGGTTGTTGTTCAGATTTTGAGTCGTAAAGCCTGACTATTTCATAAAACTAGAACTAGGCAGTATTTTCCCATTTCAAATTTGTAGCCAGTTTCAAAAAAGATGCACGTAATTGATTTTAGTCACCTGCAGAGTTTACTGATATTAATTATCGAATTATGTTGAATATTTTTAGCTGAGCTAAGCTGAAAGAACATCGTACAGTTTTAAACAACATTTTATGTCACATAAACCATCTCAGCAACAAACTATAAGAGCCAAAATACAATTTTAGCCCTGAAAATGGCTTCAAGGCCGCACTAGATATATACTTCATATTTTAAATGATTAGCTACAGCTGGACGTATAGATGAAATGTCTACTTTAGAAGGCTATCAGCGTTTCATTAAATTGCATTACATTAAAATTAGATTTTGTGGATAAATAACAATTTTAATCTGAAATAATGATGTGTAATTTACACTGGTTAAGAATTCTCTGTGGAAAATGTATTTTTGAACATCTCAATTCGTTTCAATAATACGAAGTCAATTTCAACAGCTGATTTCAACCGTAGTAAACTTGCGATGATAGTCGAGTACAAAAGATCTCTCGGTTATAACTAATAACCACATTAAAAGTTACCAACTCGCTTCGGACTCAATAAATATTCTTTCAGGTCCATTTAAGGCCATTTAATTCCTCGGCTCTGCGCTTAATCATAGCACCATCTTTAATTAGAGATTCTCGCCTGTATTTCACATTTATTGAAGCAAAAATTACAGATTGCTCTCATTTGTAAACGCCCGCATCGCTTTATCTGGTTTAATTTAACTTTTTTAAATTATTCACTGCCAGTTAACTTGTTAAATCTGCAGTTCAACGCCCAATAAAGTCGTTCGACACCAATTATTTTCACGGAGCTTCGTTCCAAACACTGTACCTACGTTTGTTAAGTGGAATAAGTGTTGATGGTATTTACGAACACTAAATTTGTTTTGATTAGTTTTGTAAAATATCTAGGCATGGCTAGTTTTTAATTTAGACGTGTCTCCTATGGTTTAAAATATATAGTATACAATTAATTATACAAAAACAAAAGTAGATTAGTAATAAAGTTAGGTTTGGAATGTCCATCAGTAGTTGAAGTTACGAGATTGTTTACCGTAAGTTGACGAACAAATCGGTTGAGATGTCGTAACTTTGGATGGCTGACGGACAAGGCACAGGGCTAGCTGGGCCGGAGTTGTTCAAACAAGTTGAGTACAAACCTCCATAGCTGTTGGCGAATTGAGTTTACGTGAATTGTGTCAAACTTGGGCAAAACGTCATGAATACATTACTTCAGTATTGCTTTAGTTTCTGCTCTTGTTGTTCTGGTTACCTTCAGTGGCTTTTATGACTGTTGAGTACAACAGGAAAACGTGTTCCTAGTCACATTGCTTTATAACGCTAGTTTGGAAAAACATTCGTGTTTTTTTTTTTTTTTTTTTTTTTTTTTTTCAATTATAAATTTATTTCAATATGTCAATAAATTCACCTGGGCCCTACCATATTTTGCCACAATATAACTTCAGTAGACTTTAAAAGGTACCGTAGTTCAAGGATATGTTGTTATCAAGGAGATGCTGTG